ATTTATAAAATATTCTAGATAATTTATGCCCCTCATTAAATTGTTCGGTAAAAAAATTGGAGCAATTTGCTATACAGGGAGCAGGGACGTAAACCGTTTAATCAGGGACAAATATTCAAAATAAGTATACTTTGGCATAAATTTAATTAATTAAATTATTTCTAACTTGTTCTCTCAATACTACACTGTCCAATTTATTTTGCAAGGGCCCATCAACCAGCTCACAGAATGCGTGTCTTGTTAAAAAAAAAAAAAAGGGATGGAAGAAGAAATATATTACACCCGATGAGACGGAGTCACACATGTCTATGGCAGGGGTTTTTGTGTCATCATGGCACTTACGCGACTCTGTCAACAAGCATTGCAAAGTAAGTCGGGTCACATGAATAGATGGGGTTCCTGCCCGGCCCAAAAAAAAGGGGTTTCTAATTCTGTGGTTCAGGCTCCATTGTAAACGTGAAGAAAGGTCGTTTTAATTTTCCCGTCTGTCGTTTCATTGGTCTTTCCCTGCTCGGCATTGAGCCGTGCATTTTGCTATTATTTATGGTACGGCCTTTACGGAATCAGCGGGCAGTCAAAGTTGGAACCCTGCAATAATACTTTAATGCCTCATTTGATGCTTATCATAATCATTCTTGACTTACATGTTATGAAAAGAACACCCAAGGTCCACAAAACCAAAAGAAAAGGTTATTAAATAAAGTGGGCATGCATTGCAAGAAAAGGCGTCCTTTTCCCACCTCTTTTTTTCCCCTTTTTAATTATTGATTGATCGAATATCCCTCCATCATTTGTCATGCGATCGCAAACATAGTGGATGCCCAAAATGCAACCCCCCCCCCCCCCCAAAAAAAAAGTCATGTTCAATAGGCAATACCGGATTCGAGGGTCAAAATTTCGACGGATTCAAAAAAAAAAAAATCAATAAATATTTGAGGTAGAAAACTTATCCGGACAAAAATATCACTTTTTCAAAATACCGCTCAAATGTCCCATTTTTCCCTCGTCGTCTGTGAAGCTTGGAAGCTTATACTAAGAAAGTGTTTAGATAAAACCAAACTATAACTTAGAGAATAACTTTTAAAGAATAGATTTTGTGAAAAACTAATTTTGAGAAGTGAGAGTGTTTGGATAATTATTATCAGAAATACTTTTTATATGTATAAATTACTAAAAAGAGCATAAGTTAATATGATAATTACATAAAAAATAAATTTTATGATATATTTTAATTTGAAAGAATAAAATTGTTAATAATATATTTTGCACCAACATAATTAATAATACATAAGATAATATAGTTAATAATTAATTAATATGTGTATATATTTATAAAATATAAGAGTAAATATCTTTATAAAAAAATAATTGAGGGTTGTTAAAATTATATTATCGTTGAGATCTACGCGATCATACTTTATAATTTAAGCCAGAACCAAAATGGATTCACTTTTTTCTAAAACCATGGTTTTGACCTGAAACCGTGGTTTGTTAATTTTCCTTCCTGTTTGGCAAATTTAAGACCTAAATCATAGTTCATCATATTGCCAAACACCCCCTAACTGGTGCTCCCCCTCCTAGCTTTTTCTTTTATAATAGCCTAATAACTAAATTATACAATTTAAGAAAATAATTAAAATTAGTTTAAAAGTAATAAATACGGAAGAGACGGACTTTTTTTTCAAACATACCCTTATAAAATAAGGAGGCAAATAAGAGAGAAAGTATGAAAAAGAATGTAGGAAGAATTTTAAATAATAAGATATAGAAAATTAATTATGAGTAAAAATGATAAAAACACACACATATGAAATCTTATAAAAATAATCAAGACGATTCAAATTTCATATTCTTATAAAAAAAAAGCGGTTGAGTATTCAATGTTCCCTTTCAAGACTAGAAGTAGCTCCAATATTTTAAATTGTCAAATATTGTACTACTCCTCTTTTTTTTAATATAAAATCTAATTGTTGAATTGATTTTGATCCTAAATATAAGACATGTTTATCATATTTATCAATTTTTTCTAAATTACTCCTTATGGTCTCTCTCAACTATAATTAAATAGAAAAAGGAGATGGGGTATTAAAGAAGATGATTATGATATTTTAGGAAAAGCATGTCACATTTCTTATAACTAACTAACTTATTTAATCTTCTTAATCCAATCAAATCAGTTAAGTAGATCTTATATTAAAGATCAGAGAAGTAATATTTAATAGGTTCTGTTAGTACGAGTATTTCAACCGACGCGCTAAAATGAAGGGGGTGGTCTTCTTACAATAATTAATAAACACAGGAGATTGATAATCAAAGTTTAGTATTATACGATCAAAGGGCCGATTACACGATTTGATTTGGACATTATAGATGTAGGGTGTGTTTGGGTGACATCCCAAACCATGGTTTGGGGAATGAATCACCCAAACACCCACCCAAAAACCAAAACCATGGTTTTGGAAAAAGCAAAAATTTTTTGCTTCTGGAGAAAAGAGGGAGAGTGGGAGAGCCTATAGAATATGTATCTTGTTATTTTTTTTATAAACATATTTAATCTTATATTTTATAAATATATATACATATTAATTAATTATTAATTATATTATCTTATGTATTATTAATTATGTTAATAAAAAATATATTATTAACAATTTTATTCCCTCAAATTAAAATATATCATAAAATCTATTTTTTCTGTAATTATCGTATTAACTTATATTTTTTTTAGTAATTTGTATATATAAAAAGTGCTTCTGATAACAACTATCCAAACACTCTCACTTCTCAAAATCACTTTTTCATAAAATTTATTCTTTCCAGAATCTATTATTTTCAGAATCTATTCTCCAGAATCACTTTTTCAAACTACGGTTTGGTTTCATCCAAAGACACCCGTAGAGTTTTTCACTTTTTGTGTCTATTATTTAGACCCTCGAGGGGGAAGAAACGAAGTACGGAACAGTTAATTGCATTAACTGAAGCAGTTATCCGGACAAGGGGATTTAATACGGACGAAACTATTTAGACAAATATCAGTGAGAGTGACTTCCATCCCCTTTACTCCCATGATCTTGTCTTTGACTAAGTTCATAATTCTTTTTTCCGGACGAAGACTGTTCATGTTTTTTTAGTTTCCGGTGTTAAGCAGCATACGCCGATGGGAATCTTGTTTTAAACATACCTAACCCTTCACCAAAATGGACTCTAATTAAAAAAAAAAAACAAAGAAAACAGATAATGATTTTGGCCCCATATACATCCAAGACAATAAGTCAGCCAATATATATTATAAAAATAGAACGAACGAACGGGTATAAGTAATTTATTGTTTGATGTATATTCACTTACATAATATCATATTGATATATCGCGTGGTTTATTTTCTCGAAAACAATCCCTGAAATTATCGAACATTTATGAGCTAGTCCACATGATTATTCCGTTTACAAAGCTGGCAGCATAATTGACGTTTGACCCGTTTTATCAACAGGGCAGGAGAGGCATTGAAATGGAGGAAATTCACAACTTTGCCCTTGGGTGACATGTCTCAAAACAACAAGGTGAAGATGTCAGCCCCTTCTCAAGGGCAAACCGTTTCTAACGATACAGCATCACCGATTAATACTTAATTACTGGGATAAAATATTAAGGTGGAACCAGCTATTAATATAATTGTGCACGCGCGTGCATTTAAATTGTACAAATAAAACAAAAATAAGCAGCCCCTCAAAGATCTCTTATGAAGGCCTGGGAGGAAGCCCCAGACTGTAACATGAAACATCAAAGGAAAAATTATTTCTAGAGACTGTATTAAACAATTATGTATTCCCAAGCACAATTAGATAATAAATATTCATTGTTCTATTCATAGATTCATACCATCTGGGTGAAATTAAATTAATTGTAACTGCCCCGTGAGTCGGGCCAGCTTTGGGTTTTTCTTTTGACCCGCGGCTTTTGTGCATACGAGTGATAGCCACTTCTCACATTCGTCCTCTCTATCAATTGTCAAATGTTAAGACGTTAACTAATAAGTGATGGGCACAACACTGCATTCGTGTTCATGATTATGGAGCTACTTGAGGACATTTAATGCCAAGAGTCAAACATGAGGGCACCTCTGTAAATGAAACAAGTAATGGGGACCAGCGTGTAAATATGTGATGATCATGGGGATCGTTTCCGAGAGATTAAGGCACCCTACCGGGATCAAATCGGAAACAAATACAAGCCACAGGGACCTATTGATTAATTATTTTTGTTGTCAATTTGTTATTTTGAAAATGTTGTCCCATGCATGTTTGCTTCTAGAGCACCGCCACCAAATACTTTAGCTCACACGCTATTGATAATTGACAATGCAGTCTCAGCATCATGAGTATTCAAAGTCCACTCCCATTAATGTTTTGACAAAGTGAGGCTTGCGAGCCCATCCTCACCAATACCAACGAACCACAGCATCGCATATATGTCATCAGCTTCCTCACAGGTCTGGCTTTCCAGACTGCTCATATCAAATAATCAAGCGCTTTTCTTAATCAATCAGGCTTTATAGTTTTGGTTTTGAGGTTTTAAATTTAATCATGATATTATTAGCTGGCCAGAAGAATCGTTATATTATTAATCTATTCTCTTGCGAAAATACCCTTAATGAAATTAATGATAGACTCATATAATATATAATTGCTTTTCAATAGTAATTTTTATATATTATATAAAATTAAAAATTTAATAATATTTTTATTTATTGCTAATTAAATTAACGAGAAGCTCATTTCAAATTTTAAATTAAATAGACTGAATGAGTTAAAATTCAATACATAAATGTGTACGGCTGACTAAACGATATTGTATTAAGAAAGTAGACGTTATTTTTAAAAGGATTTATTATTACATGATATTGGATCGCAGACGGTAATGGCACAGCAAAGGTCATGTCGCCAGCTCAGCTGCGAGCTTTTGGAGGAGGAAGAGGGCTCTCTCTCTCTCTAACTGTCACGCTGGGGAGGACTGGGTGGGTGGCTCTCTGCTCTTCTGTTTGTATTTTGTAATTTCGCATCCCCTCAAAAAATTGCCATGCTTTGCCTTCTCAGTTATCTACTCTCTCCCCTTCCTCTTTTTGTGAATTATTACATCTTTTTCTGCTTTTTCTCTTTTTAATTAATGTCCGTGGCAGGTTTTCCTAAGATTCATCATTTTACGTGAATATATAAATATATTTTATTTCCTTCTCCGTTTTCTCTCCCTCCCCTCTCTCTCTCTTTCCTTCTCTGCTCCGGTGTCACTGCGGAAGCGGAGATCCGCGAGGATTAAGTTGAAATCTGATCATATCATAAGAGAGAAGAAAATTACAAGATAGCGACCCGAATTGGAGAATGAATGGTGCCGCACACCTCGAACCAGATGGCTCCGAATTTGTCGAAGTTGATCCCACCGGCAGATATGGCAGAGTATAACTCTCTACTCTCTTCCTCTTTCCCCTCTTTATGTTTTTCACCTCGCCTGCTCTGATGATGTTTGTTTTGGTATTTGTTTCAGTACAATGAAATTCTCGGCAAGGGAGCTTCAAAGATAGTGTATGAATTTAGACTTATCATATACCCTTATAATTATTGTGGCGCCTGTTTTTGTTTGCCTTTTCATCTAGCATTTTAAGATCCGTGGGTCTTTTTGTTGTTGGTTTTGTTGGCGTTCATTTATGTTTCCCTTGATGTCTGTAGAAACCAGCAATTTGTGATCTTTCTGTTTACTTCTGAACTGATGCAGATATAGAGCATTTGATGAATATCAAGGTATTGAAGTTGCCTGGAACCAAGTCAAGCTGTATGATTTCCTACAAAGCCCTGAAGATCTTGAGAGGCTCTACTGTGAAATTCATCTACTGAAAACATTGAAGCACAAAAACATCATGAAATTTTATACGTCTTGGGTCGATACTGCTAATAGGAATATCAATTTCGTGACTGAGATGTTCACTTCTGGTACTCTTAGGCAGTAAGTCTGTTCTATAGAGCTCAAACTATTTGCTCCTTTTGCGTTACTTTTTTGGTCTTCTACTTTGAGATCTGTTTTGTTTCTTCTTTTTGAAATTTATCTGTTTTTATTATCAAAAAAGGTATAGGCTCAAGCACAAAAGAGTAAACATAAGAGCGGTAAAGCATTGGTGTAGACAGATCCTGAGAGGACTTCTCTATCTCCATAGCCATGACCCGCCTGTGATTCATAGAGATCTCAAATGTGATAATATTTTTGTCAATGGACACCAAGGCGAAGTGAAGATTGGTGATCTTGGTCTGGCAGCAATTCTACGGAAATCCCAGGCTGCACATTGTGTCGGTATGTTTATTTCATGCCACTATAATATCCGAAGATGTTAAGAAGTTATTCTGTAATCTCCAATAGCAATGACAACTAATTGATATCTTGTTTTGGAAATGGTTTGGCAAAAACTCACGAAACAACATGAAATATTCTCCCGCTGCCTATGTATGTTCTTTAGAAAATTAGAGAATTGTTTTAAACAAGGGGTAGTTGTTATGGCTTGTTATTACTTCGGAGTTTCATCTGCTACAGTTTTATATTTGCAGGAACGCCCGAGTTTATGGCCCCAGAAGTGTATGAAGAGGCATATAATGAATTAGTTGATATATATTCTTTTGGCATGTGCATACTTGAAATGGTCACATTTGAATATCCTTATAGTGAGTGTACTCATCCAGCGCAAATCTACAAGAAAGTCATTTCTGTAAGATTGCTCTCTGTCTCTGTGTGCCTGTGCCTGTGCCTGTGTCTGCAGGAGATGGATTTTCTGAGTAATCAGATATGATTGACATGTTATATTTTGTGTCTCCAGGGGAAAAAACCAGAGGCTTTATATAAAGTCAAGGATCCAGAAGTGAGACAGTTTGTTGAGAAATGCTTGGCAACTGTGTCTCTGAGGCTCTCTGCAAGAGAGCTTCTAGATGATCCTTTCCTCCAGATTGATGATTACGAATCATTATTAAGGCCAGCAGACAGTGGGGAATTTGATGACATGGTTCCTCTCATCCGACACCCATTCTATGATTTTCATCGAAGTTACAGTAATGTCAGTAATGAATACTCTAACGGATATGGCTATGATGGAGAGTGGTTTCCTCATCCAACTGAGATTGAACATACTGGAATTGAACTCTTTCAATACCAGGATGATGAACCCGCTGAAGATGTTGATATAAGCATCAAAGGCAAGAGGAACGATGATGGGGGCATCTTTTTAAGACTAAGAATTGCAGATAAAGAAGGTTGGGTTATCACTATCTTATCCTTGGTACCTTGTACCTATGACTTGTAAGTTTTGCGCTGAAATTGATCGCTGATCAGTCTGTGATTAATATATATTGCAGGGCATATTCGAAATATTTATTTCCCATTTGACGTAGAGACCGATACAGCCTTAAGCGTGGCCACTGAAATGGTCGCAGAACTTGACATGACTGATCAGGATGTAACCAGAATAGCGGATATGATAGATGGGGAAATTGCTTCCTTGGTACCTGAATGGATGCCAGGGCCAGGAATTGAGGAAACTCCTCGTTTTGCAAGTCAAAGTTTCTGCCACGACTGCGCATCTAATCGTACATCCAGTGGTTCCCTTGCGGATTTTCTGTCACATAGCTCGGGCACCAAGAACACGCAATTTCTTCAGTGCTGTAGGCATAAATGTGCTTTAATGCATGGGCGGTTTGAGGAGATCACATTTGACTCTGACGAGTGTGAAAATCATGTTAGAGAGAATGCTGATGCACCTAAGATGTCAAGTCAATCAGATTGTCTGCAGTATCGGGAGTTGTGGAACCAGCATGAAAGTCGTGAACTTAGTCCCATAGAATCTGAAAGAAGCCACTCTGATGAACAAAATGAACAGTTAGATAAATATGTATCAGCTGAAGGTCAGCGATATGATGCTTGGGATTACAAGTTCGCAACCGATGTAGGAAATTCCCACCGGAACGTATCAGGAACGAATTATTTTCCCCCAACTGGTTCGTTTTATTGTGATCTTGAGGAAGAAGGTGATAAGGAGATCCAGCAGGAGCTAAGATGGCTCAAAGCAAAGTACCAAATGGAGCTAAGGGAGCTCAGGGATCGACAGCTTGGGATAACAGTAAAATCTTCGCATGCCAGGGAGCACAAATCAGAATGCGGAGTATCATCACCTTCACAAACAGACACTTTTGAAAGAGGAAACAGTTTGAAACCCTTTGCTAATTGTGGTTCCAGTTGCCACTCTCACTTCAATAAGAGCAGCCCCAATTCGGACACCCAAAGGGCCCGAAATTGTGAGGCGATGGATTCTCCTGGAGGTGAGGTTACTGCAAAGAGTTTATGCACAGGCTTATTGCTTCCCCACTCCCTACACAGGACTGTTTCCCTCCCAGTTGATGCGGTTGATATATAAATTCGAGGCACTTGATTCTTTTGTAGATTTCATAATACATTCGTAGAGGCTCATGATTTTCTGATCGCATCCCAATTCAGATCTCCCCCCCTAATATGTCTGCTAACAAGTCCTTAATCCCGATGGCAAAAAAAAAAAGGTTCCTTAATCCCAGTTTTTCTAGTTTAGGCACCCCGGCTTTTGCCAAATTGAAAGAATCAACAGCCTGCCCTTGGTGGCAGGAACATGGCCAGACGTGGATAGAGCTGAAATGATTGAGCGTAGCAGTTCGGTCAACATTTACGTGTACGGACTGCGGTATGAGGGCCCGCGCGTGATGAGTCGGCATTGGCCCTCCGGGCCTCCAGGTACGAAGATGTCCTCAAAATTTAGATAGAAACAGTAAATTAATTTACATAACTATCCTGTCGGAGCCGAGTGTTTGGGCATTTTTCTCCCCATGCAAGTCTTATATTGACTAGCTTGAGGCGGTGGCATTAAAACGAATTCTCCGCGTTAATACTCATCATATGCGTTATTAGAACGTTGCCAAGGCGATCGATCTTGTTTTCTTTTTGGTCCTCAGCGCGATGGCTTCCGAACGTATGGATATGCTCCCCGTTGACTCCTTCTACTTCCCCCGTCAATCATGAATCAACCGATTGCGCTGGAAAGACGATCATTTAATCAGGAAAAAGAGAAAACAAAGAAAGCAACAATCCCTCTCAATGGCCCACCCAAAGAATCGTATTGCAATTGCATGCATCAATGCATGCTTTTCTTGTTCCTGCTAGCCGCATCAAAATAACTATTGCTCATCGACTGGTTCACTTGGTGACTTCATTGTGCCTAATATATAATCTGCATCATTCTTTTTAATTTTTTTAAAAACTTAATACCATCTCCAGCTCTATTTATAATATCCCGTTACAAATAGGATCGGAAGTAGTATTTGGGAATAATACAATTATGATGAATTTTGTTATATATATATATAAACAGAGAGAGAGAGAGAGAGAGAGAGAGATATTGATACTGATATAATGATGGAACTACAGTCTATTTCAAGCTGGTAAAATTCAAACTTTATTGATGACACCCCAAAATAGAAATCCTAGGTCAAAACCACATAGCTGCTGAACGTAGAGCTACCAACTAGGAAGTGTTGCGCAAATTCTGATCTTACATAAGAGGGCAATACCAATTAAATTATTAATGTCATCATTTTTGCGCTTTGATTTATAAACAACTTTTTAATCATAATTTACAGAATATGAGATAAGAATGTGACAAAATTGTCTAGGCTTATGTAAAAATACTTATAAATATTTAAAATTTAAAATAAGCAAATACAAACAAGCTTTTTGTTTTCCTATAGATTATCCATCAACTATACAGATGGCCGACAGAATACAGCCACAGTTCTACTCACTTTTTGTGAGTACGCAAGTACCTCATCACAAGGGCCGCAAGAGTGGGTAATCTTCAAGGAGTTCTCGTTCTGAGAGAGTGTCGTTTTCATTCTGCGGAGTCCATAACACCTCAACTGCCTGCAGTAAATAGCAGAGCATGGAATGATATGAATGTATTACTAATCAACAAAAATTGCCAGAATATCATTGATTCTTACTAATAATTTGCTAGAAGAAATAGATCCAAGCTTTTGTAAGGCTTCCTTCAAGTCGCCACTCCCATTGATGGCAGGAAGTTTATGTACTCCTTCAGCTGCTGCCAATATTGTAATCTGATATTTTGGAGAACAAGTTATGTCAGAAGAAAAGAATACGAGCCTTGTTGCAAACTCAGGTTTTCATGCCAAAAACAGCAAAATCCAGAGATATTCTTGATATCTCAGTTAGCTCTCAATAGAGAGACCGTGAAAATTAAATTCTTTGAATATAAATTACAATCTAGAGAGACATTCTTGGCATCTTAGTTTACTTGAGCAACAGAAATTTAAAACAGCAGGCTACACATGCTATGCGTTTCTGCAAGGCGAACTCACTTCTTATTGCTCCAGCATCCACCACCTTAGGACTAGAGATTTACGAAGAGCAAAACCTATGAACAAGGACTATCAATATGTTCAGATTAAATAATATCCGCTCTTTTCTTGTTGCTTATTCTTCCTCCTTGTAGCGACACTTTTCCATACAATTTGAAGCACCCCAATGATTTTTACACTAGAAACTAATTAAAAGATCCATCTTCTTTCAAAACGTACCTATCAGAAAGGTCAAACAACCTACCAAAAATCAACTAAGCCTAGGCCAAGCATAATGCCAATCGCAAGACACCAAATCATGTCCATGTCTTAATCTCTAACAATTTCAAATGCCAATAAAGATATCATCAATAGTCGGATCAGAACAACTGAACAACCATTTTGCATGCTCCAACGTAGCAAATCAAAACCCCAATAAAGGTATTTAGAAATCTAATCAAACCATACCACAATGTACTCATTGCTAAATCCAGTTGCTCTTTGGCTTCTTGTGCTTTGCCTTTTTATGTTGTTCACATTGACCAGTGTCTCTTCATCAAATTTTCCACGTTCTTCAATTGAAAGTTGATTGAAGCGTTTCTCTCCATCCTCAACACTCCGCTTCAAGTCAACCTGCAATAGCGTTAGGTAATGCCATCGCACTGTCAACTTTCCTGATATTGAGTTCTGATTAGTTCCACCGCCAGAGATGATAACTAATATTTCTAGTTGCAGATTTTATGCAGATTGAATTGGGCTTCTACTTCATTCTTAAGCAAGAAGAAGCGAGAAACCTGCTCCCATGCCTCTGATAACTTATACTAGAAAGAATAAGAAAAAGATGAGGGCCTTGGTGGCCCAGTGATATTAGAAAGAACAAAAGAAGCAACACAGAACCCTGCACTGACAGGGCCCCCCCGGGGGGGGGGGATAAAGTAGAATATAAGGGGCGCATGGCTCCAGGTAGACAGGTCAAGATATATGTGCATTGTGCTGGAGAGTCTAGCCTCTGGAATAGCTAAGATTGTGGGTTGTGAACTGCTGTGCTGTTTTCCCTTCATTTTCCATGCTTGTAGCCACATGCAAAGACTTGCCCTCTGGCAAACTCTTGTTCATGGAATAGTAATAGAAGAATTCGTCATAATACTGAACTTGAAAGTTTTTTATCCGCCTTAATGCTCTAGATAATAAAGAGAAGTGAACAACAAACATAAATGAAGCTTGTTACAAGATTTTGGGAATCAGCAACAACATTAGCATTATGGACTAGTGTCTTACGGGTGGGTCAACAACAAAAAGATCTATCGGAAGTACCATGGCATTTATCTGTATGCGCTAATGAATGGTTTTAGGTGATAAAATTCACTTACGGATGAATATGCCGAGATGCAGTAATCAGGATGTCGAAGCAAAGCTAGTGTTGTCTCTGTAACAAAATGCAAGAGACCAAAAAGTGAATCAAAATAGGATAATACAAAAAATTCGGCACCATCCATAAATAATACAAAGAAGAACAATAACATCACAAATCACTGGTATTTACTTGGATACACTGTCCATTGTTATCCAGTGATATTTCACACACACAACACACACAACATTATATCTATGCGCACAGGTTCAATAAACCTTATATAAATTCAATTTTATCCAGCGTCATATATAACAAATGGGGGGAGGGGACAAAATGTGAAGAATAATCCCCATACTTAGAAGGTTCACCTGTCAATACATAGCTCAAACCTTCAGGAGATGATGTATCTGCAACTTCTGCTATCCTGTTCAAATCCCTTTGAAGCGAGCGTCCCATCCCCAACAACCCAACCTTCAATATACAGCGATGGTTGAAACTCAAACCCAAATTATCATTGAAATTGTAGCATCAACATTTAATAATTCAACACGATAATTGATAAACATATTGAAAAAACTTTTCAAAATCAGGTTCAATTAACACCTGGCCACCTCCATTCGCCAGCCAGGGGATTTGGCTGGAACAGCAGAATATTATGGCAGCACAATGAACAACGACACTAAATTTTAAGCGCTACTATTTGTTTCGGGTAGTTTCAAAAACTTCGAAGTGCAAAAAATTCACCGCACTGAAGCTTGAGCACACTAGTTTTCTCAGTGGCAGTAAGTACACTACCCTCAGACCGATCCGAAAGAAAACCCAGACCAAAATAAACGCCGCGAAACCCATCAAGATGAGGAGGAGGAAGGGGAACTGGACCAGCACCAACTCCAACACCTACCGCCGGCCCAACGTAAAATCCACCGCCGCCCCCACCAAACCCAAACGGAGAAGGCGCATTAATACGGCACCGAGTACGAAAAGCCCGGGCTGGATGACCTAGGTACGAATAACTCCTCGAAGACGAGGAAGACGAAGAATGCGAAGAGAAGGACCTTCCACCCATTCGACCTCCAGATGCGGCTATTGCCGAGTTGGGATCAACATCAATAAAAGCCCTAGCAAAACCGCAGCTATTGCCGGCTTCCTCAAGGCCTTTAACGCATTCAATATTGTGGTCGCGATAATCTCGAAGGGAGTTTTAGAGTATTCTCCATCAAGAGGCTCAGAACTCATTTGTACCGAGGACTTTTGCGAGAATAAGCATTTGATACAATTATGCGTCGGGGAATCTTTCGAGCGTAGAATTGAGCAAAATTTAGGCGGTTGAACGAACGAGCGATTGGTGTAAGGGATGCGACGAGGGAATAATTGTAGAGGGAAGGATTGACTCCATTTCAAGGGGTAAACTTCAGGTAAGGAGATTGTGGCCATGGATGAACTGGGGAGTGGTGGATTGGTTTAAGTCAAGAACATAATGTTCTTAAAAATGACAATAATCGCGTTAGCATCATTAGCGTTTGCCGATTACCAGTTTGAGACGAGCAAATAACACCAAGCTTGGATTTTGTGAACATTCGTGATCCTCGAATAGGCTCACGGATGTTCTGTAGCTTGCCAAGAATGTGGACCT